CCCCCCCCCCTTCTCTGACCAATCAGAATCAAGACAAAAAGCCCAATCAGGGCAGTCTGGAGGACCTCTCCCAGGACCAGCTGGACCAGGCAGTTCCGCTCTCTGAGCCAATCAACATCCAGCGAAGGTCCCCCATGATCCGCAACCGGAAGACGGGCTCCATGGAGGTACCAGACCCTGTAGTGTTGGATTTACTGCTAATAATGATACAACCAGACTGGGTATTTCATTTTATTCTCGTATAAATTAGCAGTTTTTTGTTTTGTATCAGAAGTGTTACGGTTTTGTTTAAGTGACTGAGAGAAGCCAGGTTCGTAAATGTACTGTGGCAGCCGTCTCAGTCTTAACCCCTGGTCTCCGTGGCCCCACTCAGGTCCTCTCTGAGACCTCCCCCACCCAGTCCTCCAAAGGCAGCACCTCCCACCGACTCTTCCCCTCGGGTTCGCGCCAGTCTCCCGAGATCAAACCAGCCAGTGGCCTAGGTGGGCACCTCATTTCTGGTGTGTGTGTTTTCTGTATGTGTGTGTTTGGGGGGGGTAAGTATGAGAGAGAGAGAGAGAGAGAGAGAGAGAGAGAGAGAGAGAGAGAGAGAGAGAGATTATGCCAACAGACACACTGACCTCACAACACATTTCATCTCCAGCTGTCATCACTGATCTTCTCCTCATCACAAGCCCTCCCACCTGTCCATATCTCTCTCTCTGTCTGTGTCTCTCTCTCTCTCTGTCTGTGTGTGTCACCCATTATTTCTTTCGGTCTGTTTTTCTTTCCCTCTTTTATTTCCATCACCCTCCCCTCTGTCTCTGTTTCTGACAGTCACACAGCTTCCATCCCAGCTTAGCTTTCAGCAGCAGCCAAATAGGATCAGACTCCAAACTATGTAGGCGAGAGGTCAGCGGGGAGCGCTGCGTTCACGGCCAACTGCCGGACCGCTGGTGTCACGTAGCGTTCACAGAAGTACCGATGCCCTTTCTACGCAGGTGATAAAGTGACAACATAGGGAACATACTGTAGGTGTTTCTGTCTCTTCTTTCTGAGGTCAGAACAGGAAACAAACCAAACTACTGATGATCCACTTTAATTATTGTCTCAATGACGTTTGCTATTTAGCCTTTTATTTGTAAAGTTGTTATCATTGCAGAGCAAACTTTGAGATGTTTTATTTACTATGTTCTATACACTAACTGACAACATGAAAGCAATAGATTTAATACAATAGAAAAAACAATGTTATCCAAGATCAGTTTATTTAATTCTTTACAGCTGTTAGAAGCTCTTCTATTTCCTTTGTACTCAAAGTAGATTTAGTTTGTGTTATGGAATCATGGAACAGCTGTAGTGTTACCAGACAGAGGTTATAATCCTAAAAATAACGAAGATGGGTAAAATGACAACAATTTAAATAGCGGTTAAACTTTAGGCAACATAAAGAAGCACATATTAGTTATATTTAAATTCACATCAATGCATTTGCAATATTCAGCTCATGCACACAGTGAGAAGTGTTTATAGCTGAGCCATGTTGCACACCTGATGTACCCGTTAGATTTGGAGTTGATTTCTAGAGCACTCTACATATTTAAGTCAGCAAGAAGATAATTTGATGATTGCAGGAAATGCCATTTAAGAATTAGTCCTGTATTGTATATTATTTAAAAACATGATCAGGAGGTAGATAGTTAAATATGTAGATATGAGGGTCTCCTTATGTATTTATCAGCAGCGGTACGGTACATGCTCCGCAGTCTAATAATGTTTTTACTGTTGTCCTAACCTTAAATAAGATGAAACGTTGGGTAGTTCTTACCCGATCATGATGCATACAAAGTTAAAATGCCTTAAAATGTTCCAAATCAGGTGTATTGGAGGTGTTTGTAAGAACCTCTCCCCTAATGCTGGAGCCCTTGAAGGACTCTTGGAAAGTGTACGCACAGCAAAACAACTGACTGCTAACACGGTGACACTCACACAAGCATGAAAGGCCGTCGTCTAAATCCAGAAGTGTGAATAAAACCGTGAGCGTGAGAACAGGGAGTGGAGTCACTTTGTGTGCTTTACTGGGAATTTCAAACCTGTGTGTCACACTCAGCTTTGTTAAACTGCGTCACTTCTCACAGCTTTTGTTTTCAGAGCAGTTTATCTCCTTCGTTTGCTTGATTATGACCTAAAATATTAAACTAAATGGATACGTGGTGGAGAGGGAAGAAGCTTATTATAAGACTTTTCCAATTTAAAGAAATGATCAGCTGCACTCAAGTAAAATAAAACAATTTAGGCCGACAGGACAACACAATCAAGAGCAGGGACGAGTATAAAAGGGCAGTATGTGTGTTGTATTGCTTTTCCCTAAATGTGTTAATCATCCCGTCACTCAGTGCTTTATTATCACACGTCTGCGTGCAGCTGACTCCTGAGTGGAGCCGTGTCAGATTGTTATGTACAGTAAGTGAGAGGCTGCTGAGTGATCCCTCCCTGTTCATCCGCAACACCAACAACACCGACTTTGCACAGGTCACTGACGAGAGCAGCAGGTGTCGGGACGCCCTCTGCTCCTCATACCTCCACACTGTTTATAGAACAGAGGGACGAGCAGATGCCTTTTTAGATGTCCAAAGATTATATTTCCTCTTCGGTGTGGTCTATAAACTCCGTACTTATTTAAATATTATTAGAATCAAAAGAATATGATATATTTATGGGGATTGGCTGTTGCAACTTCAGAGGGTTTGTGCACAGAGGGTGTCTGAAATAATCCCGTTTCCACACTCGGGCCTGTTCGTCACGCCTCTGCTGCTTTTTGCGTACACAACACACATGCTCTGAATTCCCTTGTACACTCACTGATGGCCTTGTTTACACATATGCACACATACATTAAGAGGTCACTGTTGTGGAAACCTTGTAACTTATGTCATCATTTCTAGGAACAAACCGCAGCTCTGTTTTCAAATTGTCTGTGATAATTCCTTAGTTTATGATAAACTATTTATTGAAACTGAAGTTAAAGGATGAGAATCCACCATACTGTAATTACAGGGTTTTCACACAGGTGTACATTCTTCTTAATTCCTAATTCTCCTCCAAAGCATCAGTTTGTTATGAATAATAGCATGGTGTGTAAAATGTAGTACTCACCCTGCACACCTCCCTCCCCCGGCTCCTCCTCACACAGGGTCGCTCTGCTCTGGCCTCTTCAGTGCCTCCGCCCTCGGGGTGTCCTGTAGCGCCCCCAACCTGCGGGACTACGTCCGCACGCACCACCACCTCCACCGAAAACCACCCCTGTCCCCCGGCAGTCTGCCGTGCCAGATTGGCATGTTTGGTACGTTCACGCCACCGTCTGTCCCCCACAAGGCGGGTCTTTTCATCTCTTTTTCTTCTCATGAGAAGGTCTCCAAACTCTTTCTGGCTTCAGGATATCTTATTCTACTTTTCATTTTCTAAGCTTCAGATACTTCAATTTTTGGCACTTTCAGTTTTGTAATTTATTTTCTTCTTAAATTACAGCTCCCTGCTTTCTTTTGCTTCCTTTCCCAAAACAAACCAATTTCAGTCTGTTGCATCACGTTTCTTGAGTGACTTTCCTCCGCTGTGTGCATGACGAGGGCACTGATTTGACGGCAGAGTGATCGTCTGTGCAGAAAATGCTGAGCATGCAACCTGACAGTGGACTGTGTGATGCTCCGCAGCTATCTGTATTCTGATCAATGTTCTCCCAGATCAGCATGTCCTCGCACTGATCACACCGCTGTCTGCTTGGGTTTGAGTGTATTGAAATGTTCACTCTCTCTCTCTCTCTCTCTCTCTCTGTGCATGTTGTTTTGCAGTGCGAACCATATTCTCTCTCAGGGAATTTAATTTCATAATCCACAGTAAAGTAGTTTTTGTGTCTGGGAGCCAGGCGTCTGGCTTTTTTTATTAATCACATTTCACGGTAATCCTCATGGTAAGAAACTCAGCCTGTTATTTGGAACAGATATATTTTCAGCAGCCAATAATCCACCTTTAAATCCACCAGTTGCATTCCCCCCCCCCCCCACACCCACCCTTTTGCCCCAGTCTCATGTTGGTGATGGTGAGTACAAGCAAGCTGTTTCTACAGCCACCAGAGGTCCTGGTAGCAGGTTTAATCATCCCAAAACATATGGACTGGATGTCATTCTCATGGTCACAGCTGTTGTAAAATACACAAGTTTTGTGTCGTACTTTTCCAAAGATGAATGCGACACATCCTCAGGTTAATTCAGCAGCAGATAACTTTACTAGCAAAGTAAATAGATCTAAACTAATGGGCAGGGATTGTTTTTCCTTTTCCACTGCGGGTTTAAAACACAGGAAACTGAGCCGTTCAGTTTATCCACCAGGTGTCGCTCTGACTGCGAGGCTACAACGGATGCTTTCCACTCTCAGTTCTGTTACATCACGTTCAGCCGTAGGAGAGAGACAGGTGAGCGTTTGGACCGACGACATTGCTGCTCATTTAAGGGAAGCGAGGGCTGCGTCATGAGACAGGAAGTGTACTGGTTTCAATTCAGACCTTAAAATGACCATCAGTGTGGTGATGAGTGTAGTTTAGAGCAACATTTATGAATCCACACAGCTCTATCAGATGAGGTCAGATACCCCGTCATTAACACCACTCATGTTCCTAATACTTTCTTTTAAATGGATTTAAAATGCAATGTTATTCATTATATAAAAGTGGATATTCATAGTCTCATTGAGTGATCCTGAAAACAATTATGTTTGAAGTTTGCATTGCTTTTATTACCATTTAAGGTTACAGAAGCTGTTTTATTACTTTAAAATGCCTTTAATCAATATTTTCATATAACATGAATGCACCAGCTCTACGGAGCATTATAACGTAACATTATAAAGAGTGAATCTTAGACTTTTATTTGTCAGGTGGCCAAAAACATGACTTCAAACAATTAATAAGGTTCATTAGTGACAAGCCAAGCTAGATGCTTGTCCTGTCTTTATGCTAAGCTAAGCTAACAAGCTGTTGTCTGTGGCTCCATATTTACCGTACAGACATGAAAGTGAGTTCAATCTTCTCATCAAACTGTCAGCAAGACAGCAAACACGATTGTGTTTCCCACAAGGAAGAAAAAAGAGGTTAAACTCAGCTTCCTTTCACAGTCGAATGCCCTTCAGATAGAAGTCCAGCGTCACACCTCCTGTATGTTTACTATTCTAAATGTCCATCATTTACTCCACTCAACAGCCTCTCCATTCTCTTTCTCTAAAAGCCCATCTCCTCTCTGTTCATTCAGAGACGACCCTCGTTTGCACGCATGTTCCTTGGCAAACAGATATTAATGAATCGACGGGCCAACTCTCTCTCTCTCTCTCTCTCTCTCTCTCTCTCTCTCTCTCTCTCTCTCTCTCTCTCTTTCTCTCTTTCTGTTTTTCTCTCATGTAAAAAGACAACACTGGCAAATAGGCAGACGCAGGTACCAGCAGCCCCAGTAACACCAGTTACCTTTCTTATCTCCTCAGAGCTGTTCTCTATGCCGCCAGTAAAGAGATTTTCTGTGTCGTTTGCCAGGCATCCGACTAATGGTATGTCTGCTTTTATTCAAGTTTATTTTCGACGCTCCTCCAGTTTTTCCTGTTATCTTGCATGACCCTTTTTTTTTGTGGGAAAACATTTCCTGTGTTTTCTAATTTTGGGGGTTTGACGTTTGGCTGCGTTAATTACATTAAACGTCTCTTAAGATTTAAAAAACTAATTTAAATTTTAAAGAGTTTCTGTTTCTCACACGCACACACAGCCTCGGTGTTTGTTGTACCTTGTGTTGTTTTTTCGGCCCTCACCTCTAACACCACCTGCTCTGCCTGCACTTCTTTCATTCTCTCTGATCCTGCTGTTTCTTCACAGGATGGATGTGTGTGGAATATATATCCTGCCTCAGACATACTTCCATGTGCGGATAATCTGTGCACATTTCATAATATATCCTCACCTGCACTTTTTGCTCATTTCAAATCATATATTCTGTTAATTTCTTAGTTTGGGCGATTAAAAAAAAAAAAAAAAAAAAAAAAACAATCTATTTAACTCTGACCGCATCACTGATTGGTGTAGTCAGAAATGTTTCACCTCACCCAACCGTGATGTCACGGTGTACCGACTCGCCCTGGAGTACACTTCTACGTCACTGCAGCAAGGTGAGAAGTTAAATCGGGAGAGGTCAGCAACACGAGATATTCGGGGAGTGTTAAGTTGCTCTCGCGAGTCGCTTTCCAACGTGAACATGGAGCGGACGGTTTTGTTTCTTCATTCATTTGTTGGATTGCAGCTCTGTACCTACAAAACAAGGGAGCGTCTACCTGGATTTATTCATCACTCTGGAGCATAAAAGCCTTTTTCCCATTTTATTATTAATTTAAAAATATTTCTGTTTGATACACATTGTTTTGCAGTTTCATTTTATTTTATTCATCACGTTAGTGCTGCTTTACAAGCAACTCTCACTCTTGAAATTTCTGAGATAGTTGGATAAAGCTGGAACAATTTGTTGATTAATCGTTCAGACAATCTACAAAACAAATGTGAAAAGTCGATTCATCATTTCACAAATCTTTCAAGCACACAGGCCCAAAACTCATTTGCTGTTTGTCGGACCAAAAAAGATATTTGAAGTCATGGTCTTTGACTGATTTTCAGGTATTCCATAGAATAAACAATAAGTATTAATTAATAATGAAAATAATAAATAATTTCAGAATTATAATAAAAATATCCTTCGTTCTTCTATATTGAAATCCCTCTCGATAGCAAGTGTCTGCTGCTTGACTCGGTAATTCTGTGGTGAAGCCGAGCTGTGGATGCTAACTGCCTGTAAGTAAGAAATGTTCAGCAGCATCGACGGTGTTCGGCCTCCTGGTCTCTGACGTCGTGGAGTCTGTTTGTGAAAAGTCATATTCAGTTTCTTTAATCCAGTTACATGCATCTGTCACTGGTGGCCATCTGGCTCCGTGTAGAGGTTTCTTTTGGACACGGCAGCTGTTGGGAATTAATGAGTTGCTTCACAGTGCTTGTTTTGTGGAAAGATGTATTAGTATGATCAAATCCACTCTTCACTTTCTTGAAATATGTATTGAGGCAGTTTTATATAGCACCATGGGGAGATCAGCCCCGCTGGCTCTTATGACCTGAGAAGGAGCAAATCAAAGCTACTGGACTGCACAGAACTGAGCTCCTGTTAGGTTATTTAGGCTGAATGCTGTTACGGATCAGTGACTCAGACATTGCATGATGCAATGAGCAGTAATATAATAACAGCAGCGTGATAAGTGCTGTCTGTGCTTTCGCAGGAAAAATGACACATCGTAGAAGCACCGGGATCGTCTGACGTGTTGATTCAGAATGACACGGAGAGTCGGCGCGGTTCAGAAAGCTGATATGATGTTGACAAGTGTTTGGAATAAACTACGGGGAACCACAGTGATGAGTGTTTCAATCGGGCTTCTACAGTTCAACCCGTGTGTCGAGCACATTTGTGGTATTTAAGGTTAAGACTTTAGGAAGTGATGACAGGACATTTACTTTGTGATCCCTACACTTAAATGAGCAAGGAGGATTAATCAAATACATAAATCATGTTGAGATGTCTAGATAACACATTTAACATCATCACCCAGGCTTGTTTTCTTCAGCTTTGGTCCAACAACATGCTGTAGTTTAAGTTCAAAATGTCCTTTTTATACACATTTTATAAAGACAGCTATGCATGTGTAAGCAAAACTCACTGTGGAGGACCAAGAATCATATTCATCTCTGGGTTGATAAAACCATTTTCAATTTTATCTTTTGTTTTTGATTGAGTCTTAAATCATTCAGGTCACATTTTCACCTAATTTTATGTTTCGTTATGGAGCGAAGCGCCTCTATTATCTGAGGATTAAAGTAGAACCTGAACCCAGACATTTGGGAAGCCAATATTCTATACTGGTTATTAGCTTGGTAGGGTAAAAGGAAAATTAGCACTGATGAATTGCCCAAAATGCTGCTCAGTGGAGGAAAATCAACAAAATAGTTGATTTTCTGTGCAGTGAACTGGAGAGAAAGCAAAATGTGTTGTGTTTGAGTTGTTGCACATTGTGTTAAGGAACAGCCGTGACTGTGATTGCTTCATTAATCACGTATCAGAAGAGTTTGTGTGGTGTCATTAAGAAGAGTTTTATTATCACTAGAATCTGCAGCTTCACGGAGCTTTATACGGAGTTTCAGCTTATTTTATAGCTGCTTAAACCGACTGCATACGTTCTGCCCAACACCAAACAACATACAGACACAGTTAGAGGTTAGGTGGTGAACACAGTAGAGCAGCTAAAGAGCCGGACGTTCCCCTCTGGAGTTGATAGACACCAAAAACTGAGCTACAAGTCATTAAATATTGGACTCCAGATAAATGCAAATGTTTCTCTGTAACTGCTGGATATGTGATTACGCAACTGTTTGCAAGAAGTCTGTTATTGCTAATTAATCACCACAAGCTATTCTGGTGAAGACCATGACGAACCTGGAGCCTTTGGGCCTCCTCAGAGAGTTCGGGGCTCTCAGGGAAGTTGCCCAATTTGCACAGCACAGTGTATCTCCAAGCACAGAGCTGTTAATTGAAAACATAAAACAGCCGTGCGAGGTCACAGTTTTCTTGTTTTTGAAGTTGTTATACCTGAACAGTATTATTGACGACTCTAAGACGCTCTGGTTCACATGTTTTGTGAAGTAGACCTCTGATGTGTCGTCACTGATTCCTTTTGAACTCGTGATGCGATAGATTATCGATTATTGACTGCTGCTGCTCTTTATTTGACCTCGGGTTTATCTTTTGTTTGAACTTAGTTTGCTTTGAAATGGAAATGGTGGGATTTGTTTCAGCTGTTGGTGGTTGAGGCATACTGTTGTTCAGGAGTAGTTGGTCTGCTTCATAACTGAAAGGTCAAGACGAGTGTAGATCAAATAAGGTCAGAGATTGAAACTGAATGTGCTTTCTACGATTCATTTCTCAGCTCATTAAATTCAACCCACTGTGCTGAAGCCGCACTGCTCTTTTGAGTTGTTCCACAGCTCCTATCGCTCCTCTTGCTGCTCCACTGTACTTCCGCTTCCTCTCTTCCTGCTCTGCCTCTCGTCCCTTCAGAGCCCTCAGACGAGCTCCATGTAGTCCAGCTGCTGGGGGGGCTCCCCGCTGAGGCGTCCCTGCTGGGGTTTGCCCCTCTGGCTGTGGACGCTACCGTAGCCCTCCACCTGCGCCACTGTCCCTACCACCGTCGCCTCCTCAAGAGCTGGCTGAGGTCTGGTCAGGAGCTCCCAGAATCCCTCCACGGTCAGCCTCTGTGGATCCCTCTCACTTCCTGTCGCCGCCTCCTCTTCCTCCCTCTAGCCCCGTTCTGCCAGTGCTGGGGCAAGTGGGACGCTGTTAATGCCAGTTGAGCTTTGCATCCACTGTTGTTCAGTGCTTTACTTTACGTTTCCTTCTGTGCATTTCTCCTTTTCTTTTCGTCACATCCTGCTCCATTCCATGTCCAACTGTAAACGTCTTCCTAACTTTCTTTATTTTGCATGTTTGCCAGAGGCTGCAGCTTTAAAAGCAGGAAGAGTCCATTTTCTTCTGCATACAGTACTTAAAGTCACAGTGAAACTGCAGTTAGCCTTAATCCTTATCGATGTGACGTGTTTCATCTTGATGAGATTTGGTTGTTTAGCTCAGTTATAGTGGGTGTTGTTTAGCAAACATGAGGCGATACGGAGCACCTAACCCAAATACAGTCTAAAACAGGTGTTAAAGCAGCCGTCTCTGGTGCTTTTCTTAGTGTTGTGGTGAACATCAGATAACTGGCCAAAGCATCTCTACAAAGAAATGTCATCTAGAGATGTAAAATGGAGCGATAGAGCAGAAAAGATAGATTTTGATCCCTCAAATGCTTTATAACTTTCTTGATATCCATTTATTGTGTCATGTTCTGCACATAAAAGCAACTCTACTAAAAACATGAATATGAAAATGATCAACAGGGGAAATTCACATCTTGGCCCCTCGAGGTCTCAAATGGTTCCCGTCCATTAAGTGCTGAAGCTCGTGTCGTTGGTATCAGACGAGTTGTTTGAGGGAGTAGACCCTGAATACATCTGTAGTCGTAGCACATTGTTCCTGGAGAAATGCAAGGCTGACCAGCATGCTCTCTGGGGAAATGGATGAGCCACTTCAACCTCCATGCATTAACTGTTTGCTTGTTTCGTGGCGTCGCTTCATCGTGGAGTTCTTTGTCGGGCTGCACGGAATGACACTCGTTTGGTTTTGCTTTTGGTCTGTGTGTAAAAGTCGGCTTGCCAATGCACAGTTGTATTTGCTCAGCACGTACATGTGTATTTGTCATTTTATGAAAGGAAAATATGCAGGACATTGTTAATTAATTAGGGATGCACAATATACATCGGGCCCAGTAATGCGAAAGTTATGTCATGTATTATTCCGATAATTGAATTGTAGCTGATCATTTATTGTCTGATAATACGAAGTCAAATGGCCTTCATTGAATTTACAAGCGCAGCATCTACACACTTCGATACCGTATCGGCATAGGGTTAAAAAAATCTATATTGTGCATCCCTAGAATTAAAACATCCATCAGATAAAAGGGAATTGTCATAAAGGCTTCAAAGGCAAGATGAAGATAAATATTCTTAAGATAAATATTTACAACATGATTGATTACAAACTGCCACATATTCAGTGTGTGGTTGTACTTAACTATACTCTCTCGTGTCACATCTGGTTGCAAACAACCAAGATGGCGATGGCCAAAATGCCGAAGTCGATGCTGAATGAACTGATTAGAATTTGGACCTCACAAAACACGTTTTCTGGGCCATAACTCGAGAATTGATATGCTAATTATGAAAGGATAATAAACTGCATCATGACATGGTGGTAATTCTAGTTTATGTGGTTTGGATCAAAGTGAATTGAACCACATCCTGTAATATACAGAATAATGTGACACTTTCCCAAATAATCACAACATCCCGCTTTTGTTAATATGGTCAAACTAACCAAAGAAGGAAAGTAACACCAGCCATGGTGCTGATTGTTTGTTTACATTCGTGTTTGGCTGGTAACTTTGTGCTGTGTAGCTGCTGTCTGAGGCCAGACGGTGTAGACGGTAACACGCCATTAAATTTAGACCTGACAGTAGCCTGTGTGCCTAGATAACAAATAAAAATGGCTGCCGAATATCGGGACCTGCTTGTCAAGTTATGGCATCGAGAGAATGAGCAGTACGCCAGCATTCACAGAGAGCTACAGTGTCGCCGCTCCTCCTCCTCCTCTTCCGTCTGATGGAGAAGTGGTACGACCGGCTGTGTTTCTGCGTCTCCTGTCTGTGCTGCAGGCTTTGAAGGCTGCTCCATGGTGCCCTCTATCTACCCGCTGGAGACGCTGCACAACTCGCTGTCCCTGAAGCAGGTGGACGAGTTCCTCAACAAGGTGTGTGAGAGCAGCAGCGAGGCCCACGCCAAGACCATGAAAGGTAGGCCCGCACCACGAGGAAGCACTGTTCTATACCGACTACTTAAGTTAATGCTGACGAATGCTTTGTAAAGGGAGAAACAACACGTGTTCCAATGCAACACATATTTTAAGCACATGCCATTGAAGGTTGTTGCATGTCTAAACTGTTTTCATGCCAAAGCTTCGCAGTTGGAATTTAAATATGTGATTCAAGTATTTGACAAAAATATTTAATTTAATCCAGAAGTATTTTTCCAGATATGTGTGCTTTTGAACTGTTTATTCACACATCCAGTGCATTTAGATCTCTTTATGTTAAATATATTTGGACAGTGACACATGTTGTTGTAGTGGATCTGTAATCCAGCACATTGGACTAAAAGAAATACGGAGTATGAAGTTTAAGTGCTTGATTTTATCTTAAAGGGTGTTTAGATCCATACTGGGTTAACGATCAGCTCCACAATTTATGTCCATGTGGACAGACAACTGTCCTTTAAATACACCAAACTGAAAGTAAAACGATAAAAAATGATTAAATATGATGACTGTTTGAGTTTAAATTAACTTGTTTAATTCTTTTCCGGGGGACTACGTGCAAAAAGACACTATAAAGTTGATCTGATGTGCGTGTTTACACCCACATCAACTGGAGTAAACCAACTCAACAAAAACTCTTCAAATATCAAACGCTGCACTGTGGTTCTATTAAGAAACTGACATTTGGAGCCTGATCATAATGTGTTTTTCTGTGTTTTTCTGTCTCCGCTCCAGCGCTCTCCAGCCTGTTTGACTCTCAGAGCCAGACGTCTCTCTACAGCCCTCAGCAGCCGCTGTCCTCCTCTGGCTCTGAAACGTCTCTACGGCCGCCAAGCCAGCCTCTGTGGCGTGAGTGTTTTTATACGGCTTTATGGCTTTATGCATTATGTAGGCCCACTTCTATCTCTTCTGGTAGATGTCTGCATTCAAATGCAATGATGGGGATTAAGACCAGAGGTCAAAATATATAACAATATAGATATATATTGTAAAAGAACACTGGTCTTTGGCAGGTGAAATCTAAATGTACCTCTCCAAGTGGTCACAATTCATTTTGACTTCCTTTACTGCAGACTTTTATCTGCAATGACCTCGTGGTTACAGATATTCATTTTATCATCACGAACAGGTCACATGCTCAGTCCCCAACTGAGCTAAAAAAGCAGGTGTCTTTGAACCAAACTCGGCTGCTAACTGATGCTCATTTTATTTATGTATTAATCTCTTTAGTCGTATATTCACAAGAAGAAGAAAAAAGGTTTGCTAACAGATTTTGCTGTCAAGTCGTAGATGCTGACAACTGCAAAAGTAGATCACATGTTCCTTAAAGATATTTTCCATTTACCACAACAAGAGCGACATGTTTCACTCAGCGCTTCATCGTGCTTCTTTCTCTCTTTTACTGATTATCTCCCCTTTTTATCTCCCCTTTTTTTTTTTTTTTTTTATCTCTCTGTCCATCTTATTTATCACCCAACAAACATGCAGGGATGCTGGAGGATGTTCTGCTGGTGGTTTATTCTCCCTTTGGCTGTAGTTACAGGACAGCTGTGTGCCAGTGCAGAGTCATTGAGGCTGTTTTTATGCGTCGAAACGACAGTGAAACGTGTCATTCTGGTGAAAAGCTTCTGTAATTTCTCACTATACGGATTTAAAATGTGTCTTAAATGTTCATTATTCGATTGACCAATGAATGGAGACAAAACTTCATGTTAAAATGTACTGAAATCTCAATTATACAAGTATATTCTAGTGAGAGTATTATTATACACGTTGACGTGCAAGCTTGATTTATGAAGAAAAAACATTTTCATCAAGTTTTCCATGGCAACAGAAGATGAAGCTGCGAGGACATGACGCTGTTGTACCGGATCACTCCCCCCTTCTTTGTTCACCTGGTGTCCCTCCACATGACGCACAAAGTGCTCAGAGTGGAGAGAGGACTCAGGATTAATAAATGTAGTGTTTTGATATGTTTTGAGGGTTAAGATCTGTGTTCCTGAGCTACAAAGTTAACTGACTTTATCTGTTTTAAAGATGGCAGTATCCCCTCCAGTGCCGTATCCAGTGCGGGTCCCTCCTCCCCGATCGCAGAGAGCTCCGGTCTGAACTTCAGCTTCAGTGAGTAGACCATCTGTGGAAAAGAAAGGACTTCTGGGTATCTAACGGCACGATCTGAGGACCTCGGTGTGTCTGCCTCTCCATTCATCTTTTCCTCCGTCCTTCTGCTCACATTCACACATAAAAACAAACACTGGAGGAGACGCTGCTTCTGGAGAGAAGCCACGGTATTACAAAACACTCCGACTGTAAATATCACCACTCCGACTGTGCATGGACACTTCAGCTGCACACACGTGATCACCACAAGAGAGAAAACACCGGACCATCAGCGCTTTTAAAATCTCTCATCACCTCCATCCGCCTCCTCAGTTCGTCAACACATTTGTGAAAACGGCTCCGACTGAGTAACGAGCATCAAGCCAACATTTAAGACCAGTTGTGCCTTAAGCTCAATTTGGATGCTGCCTACGTTAAAACAACAACAACAACAACAACAACAGTGCCTGTTTTTTTGCAAATATATTTGTAAAATATCTCACACACCAGCTGCCTCGTCTCTGACTTTAGGTACGTCTGAAATGCCTTTCAGACTTTGAGTCAAAGTGTCGGCTGGCGTTCATTTGCATCTGAAATACATTTTTTGCCAATCACAGCCCACCCTGAAACTAAACAAGCTGTTGTGTTTTTTTACTTCTAGTGAGATTTAGTATCGTGTAATCAATTTGACTTGCAAATGTCTGCACGTACTGCAGGCTGACAGTTGAGGCTTTTGGACATTTCGGCAAATTCACTGTTGTTGTTGAGAGTTAAGATGAGACGATCGATGTTTTCGTTGTTCTATGAATACTGCTATTAAATTAAACAATTTTCTATGTAAAACTCAAACATTAGTGTTGAACCCTGGTACCTACATCTATGAAGAGTTAAACACTGTAATTTGGATATAAGCCCCGTAATTGTGAGCCTGGACGTAGACGAGGAAGTCAGGTGACGGAGCCACAAAGTCGGCAAACACAGGACTTTCACCCATGAGACCGATAATCAAGTCAACGTTGACTTATTTTACCGCCAACTGCATGAGTCACGTAAAACAAATGTACTTATTCAACCTCAACCTAACCCAACACCACCTCTGATCGTATCGCTGGACGTTAGAGAATCAACTGTTGTATGAGGACACTTTGATCTTCTCACTCTTTCTAAGAAAGCAAATAAACGTGTTCCTCCAAACGTGACGCTATTCCTCTTAAGACGAAAACAAAGAGGCTGGTGCAGCACGATGATATCCGGTAATATTAAGATGAACGTCATGCAGTCATGAGGAATTATTCCCATGAATCATCAGGGTTATGAGCTCATCGTGTTGGTGCTCGGTACCTTTGTTAACCAGATGTTTGCATCAACTCGAGCCAGCTTCATCAAACTGTTTTCAAGGATTGTCTGCTGTTGAATGGAAACACAGTTCATCTGTGAATGTGCCTTTTTAAATGAATATCCAGCGTATTGTCGGGGGTCTCCTGCTGTATTTTTATTTCAGAATCAAAGGAGAGAACCACTTGATTATGTAAATGGTATTTTTACATAAACTACTGACGACTGTAGCTTTGTCAGTCGATGCTGAATTGTGACTGTTGTGTGTTTTAATGTAAAATGAATGAAATGTTTCTACTGATTGATTGAGTGATGCTCAGGTAGACACGTCATGAATCTACGGATGGAAATTTGTTTTTATCAACATGTGACTGAACTTTGGGGCCATTTCACTTTCAATTACTTCTAAAATTTATAAATTCAGTTGCTGAATTTACTTTAAACTCCAAATAAATATGTTTATTACTTTGACCGAAACCTTTTTAAGAGAGTTTAAGCTGTATCATAAAACAATGACTTGCAGTTTTATTTTTTACAGTAAAGCTCTGATTACGGGCATTACGTTCAGGCAGAACTGTCACAACAAAACGAGAAACAAAACGACTCAAAACCTGGAAACACCCGCTGGAGAACAAAGAGTTTAGTTTAGATTTCAAAAGGACTAAAGGTTGGCTGTTGTAGGTCATTTTAGTTGTGTATTTATGTAAGTATTTAATGTCAACCAAAGAGGAGGAAGAGGAGTGGTTTTGTGTGCTGGAGAACAAAATGGACGTTTAATGTGTAAAATAAAATATTTCTGTCAATCTCTTGAGATTCAGGTCCTGCTTTAATGTGAGGAGGAGGAAGGAGGAGTGTGTCTTTTTTAGTGGCCCACAGTCTAGACCATGAAATAAACTTATGTCTCAGTAATTTCATTATCTTTTGTTTTTCTCTACATGCCTGCTAGTCGTGCTCACGTGTATGTGGAAATAAGTAAATTAACGGCATTTAACATTATTATTAACGTGATAATTTCCGTTACTTTGCTCGCTGTATTTTGAAAGTACTTACCGGAACCGGAATGAAGACTGGACAACACGTCTTCATTGACGCTGTCTTTATGAATTTAGTGTGTTGCAGTTCCTCACTCTGACCACTAGAGGGCAAAATGAACACTCTTGAGTTAAGAGTGTTCATGTTGCCCTCTAGTGGTCAGAGTGAGGAACTGCAACACACTAAATTCATAAAGACAGCGTCAATGAAGACGGGACAACACACTACCACTTCCGGTAAGTACTTTCAAAATACGTGACCAAAGTAACGGAAATTATCACGTTAATAATAATGTTAAATGCCGTTAATTTACTTATTTGCACATACACGTGAGCACGACTAGCAGGCATGTAGAGAAAAACAAAAAATAATGAAGTTACTGAGACATAAGATGGAAACAGTTTGTTTATTTCATGGTCAAGAGTGTTCATGTTGCCTAATACTCCTATTGTTTCTCCCCTCTCCATATCTACTCCTATTGTTTCTCCCCTCTCCATATCTACTCCTATTGTTTCTCCCCTCTCCATATCTTCTCCTATTGTTTTCTCCCCTCTCCATATCTTCTCCTATTGTTTTCTCCCCTCTCCATATCTTCTCCTATTGTTTTCTCCCCTCTCCATGTCTCCTTTCCTTGTGTCCTCGCCTGGTTTTCTCTCCATATCTCCTCTTGTTTCCTCTCCTCTCTTGTCTTCTCTCCTTGTTTCTTTTCTTCTCATCTCTCCTCTTCATGACTCCTCTCCTTGTTTCCTTTCCTTATCTCTTTTCATATTCTCTCCTCTCCTTAATCGTTTCCCCCGCCACTCCTTCTCTTTCCATCGTCTCTCGTCTTTTTTACCTCACCCCATTTTCCCCTCTCTTCTTTCTCTCTCTCTGTCTGTCTGTTTGTCTCTCTCTGTCTGTTTGTCTCTCTCTGTCTGTCTGTCTCTCTCTGTCTCTCTCTCTCTGTCTCTCTCTCGCTCTCGAATAGTGATGACTCATGCCTCCTCCTATTGCTCCCTTGCGTTGCCATGGCGACATCCCCAGATGTAATTGACTCCTCCTGGGTGATGGGAGAGAGACAGACAGACAGACAGACAGAGAGAGAGAGAGAGACGAAGAGAGAGAGACAGATACACAGAGAAAGAGAGAGAGAGAGATACACACAGAGAGAGAGAGAGAGAGAGAGAGAGAGAGAGAGAGAGAGAGAGAGAGAGAGAGAGAGAGAGAGAGAGAGAGAGAGAGAGACGGACGGACCACCGACTCACCGGAAGCCAAAAGCTGATGTCATTCTTTCTCAGGCTTTATTTCTACATTCACACACACCCTTCTCTCTTGCTTCTATACAAACCCGACTGTAGCCTCTTTCATTCATTCCTCTCCATTGTTTTCTGCATGTCTTTATCAAGTTGTACTCCAGTGGTGGAAGATAAAGAAACAGAAATGTCCTGCAGTCAAAAGTACGAGGAGAAATCCTTTATGGAGGAGACGGAGAGGAGCCTCAGCACACCACAACGTTACACAGACGTGTGTACAAGTAGATGCACGTTGTTGTTGCACGTTAAAATAAACAGCTAATGACATGTATATGTAAATTTACAATGCTCAAACTATTCATCTTGCCTCCTGTTGTTGTCTTGTGAGAGATAAAGGTTAAGAAATGGAAAGATCAACTACAGACTCCATAACAACCCTTTCAGGTTATTCCTCCTGTCAGAGATGTTTTTAACTGGAGGTGGTCACCGTGACCCAACTGCCTTCCTCCTGTTCAGTGACTTAGCTTTTACTCGGCTAATTACCTGAAATGTAAATACAAAGAGAGAAGTGGGAGGGAAAGCCGAGCGAGGAGAGGAATTACTAGTTGTGCTGAAGAGAGAATTGCCCTCATTGAGTCTCACGTAATAGTGCAGCATGAGACACCAACGGGCCAAATTCCTTCTTCTGTCTTTTGTTTCTCTCAGTGCTGAAAGAAAAACACACTTTACTGCAGGGGAGAAACGAGAGACAAGGATAAATTAGGAGCCGTTCATCACCGGCTGTAATGAATGCGGAGGGTGTTGCAGCATCAGGTGTAGGCGTGGAGCCATTAGGGGGGATTTTAGAGCCCAGATTGATCTCACCGTCCCCCTGAGAGTACGATTATTGAGTTCTCGTTCCCTCACTGCTCAGTCAAAGATCTGTAGAGATCAAATGGAAATGTGCTAAAGTTATTTTGTCGAGTGAGAATGTAGTAGTGCTGCTGGAGCATTACTTCATCTTTCCACCCGACTGTCATCGTTTTTAATCATCCAATCGGATGTTTAGTTACACTCTCGATAGATAAAATGACCTGTAAAGAGACGAGAGAGAGAGACAAGCAAAACACGACACACTTGTGGATTTAAATGTACTTTAATAGATGATCACCAGGCTGTTTCCCTTTTACAATGAATCTGCAGTAGTTCTAGTTTCACCAGTTAGATTTAAAGAGACAGAGAGATATTGAATATTGCGCTGAGGAAGAAATCGTAACTAAGATTAATACAATGCAAAAAAAAGGAGAGAATCGAACATAACTACCAATACAGCGTCTTCTTAACATGTTAACAGGACAAACAATAAAAGCACAGCCTAGTATTATATCACTGTAGGTCATTTCAGTACCAGTTAAGACAATAAGCTGTTTTTTTTGTGTTTTTTTCAAATATACCTCTTTAAAATAGCATTGAATTTTTATTATTTCCATGTTAAACAATTACATTCAGGATTATAACTAAATAAATCACATGCAGAGAGATGAGATGGACAGATGACGCCATATTGAGATCAAATGGTATCTTCATTTCGATGCAGGTATGGCGATGAAATTGAACTGAATGATGCAATTTTGTTTCCATCCTATATCTTGTCAGCGTTTTTGTGTAGCTCTCTCGGTTGGAGGAGTAGTTAGCAGTTTTGATCTAAAAGCAGCTGAAACGAACATCGGAAGGATAAGTTGTCGTACCTTTTTAAGTGAAAGCGACGTGTATAAATCCGTGCTCAGTACATACATGTACATGTAGCATTTGTTTCATTTCATCGATGGTTTTTGAGTCTGCATGTGTTTTCAAGTCGTCATCAGGAAAAGGATAAAGTTGCAGCTGCAGTTGGTACTATTTCTGTGTTACTGTTAATGGGTTTGTTTACGGGATCTCGGTTGCTTTCTGTTACGTCAGAAATCAAACTTTTCTCCTCTGGAGCAGAACCGTGATTTATCATGACAAGTCTGTCAAAACGGTACCTGCTCTCATTGTATTACTGTCCAGGCTGCTGTGAGTTGTTTTTATTTCTCTATTGTTTTGATCCAGCAGCATTCGCACGGTCGTACCAACTCTACATTCAAGAAAAATAGATCTCCTCTATAGTGCATTCAGCTTCTGTGTCGTCACACAGTTCAGTATTGAGTGCTTCACAGCGTTCTACTGATGCCTTGAACATCTCAAGGCTTGGTATTTGGAATCTGCCAACTTAAAAACATTATTCAAAGACAGTACGACACATCAGACCGTCCACAGAGTCTGATCCGTACATTGAAAAGCTTCTTCCTGGCTTTTTGGACACATTTCCAGACGGCATCGCAGAGGCGGTGAAAGGGACTTTTTCGCTTGTTTTCGATTAATTTGAATTCTCTGTCTCCTCGGTCTAAATGCGCCCTTCAGTTAATCAACTCCCTCCAGACTAGGGTGTGTACTTGTGCGTGCCCAGCTGTTTAATATACAAACTGCATCAAACAGAAAAAAAAAAGAAAAAGCTGTCTGCTTCTGAATCATCACAAGCATGAGATGCATATCAAGGCTTACACTGTGCATAATGGACACATATATACTGTGAAGGGAGGCCAGGCAGAGCAAAGAGCACGGTGGCTTTGGAAGATGAGGTATAAGGTAGTGTGAGCGTTTAACAAGGAAAGGAAAGGGCACCGGTCCCAGGCTGACAACACGCATGAAACGAGGAGTTTGTGTCACATTTTGAATCAGATTTGAGAGAAAGAATTGAGCGAAGTTAAACTGTGCGAGCAGAGGATCCTCCCTGCGTTTAGTTGGCAACATCCTGACTATCAATCCGTCATCAAGAGCTCAAACTGAGTCCTTTCTGGGAATCCAAGCCTCCCCTCCTCCATCGCCCAGCCTGGCCCGTCCCCAGTCCACACAAAACAAAAACAAGCATGTGATGAGCCATCTTGGCAGAAATATAGTTCTTTCTTTAGACAAAAAAGTGAAATGTAAATACAATAAGATTTGCTTCTCAGCACGCATTTGGAGAACATTAAACCAGAATTAATTGAAAATGTAAATTTGTTACTCTAAAAATTATATATATATGAAGAAATAAAACTTGGGCTCGCGTAAATTAAACGTGAGCATGTGAGCGACTCGTCAACCTGTCTGTGAACCAGCAGAGAGACCTTTCATAGCGAGCCCACGGAAAAGTCAAACCCTGCTGCGTTATATTATTATTATATGCTCGCACACAAAAAACGACCTTAAAGACATTCCTACTTTATACTTGCGTCCAGTACGATCGTAATCATTCATGCTCATTCTGTAAATATTACTGTGGGATTAATATTCGGTAATTGCTTCAAAACTAAGATGCTGTCCCTTTAACTGCTAGCTCAGTTTGGAGGAACGTCTAGTACATTATCTTATAATACAATGAAAGTTAGTTTCTCCGACGACACTCGCTCTGTGCTTCAACTACAAACAAAAATCCAACTTCTAAACTCTCACAAAAGTACATTCCTATTTGGTGCAGTTTCTCTGCTCGAAGACATTCATGTTTGTTTGAAAGTGTCGGTTCAGAATGTGGCATTGACGCTGAATTGGATCACAGAGATCCCAAAGTTATTTAGTGTACTATTTCCAAGTGTGGATAAGGTTTGTGCGTGTACTGTATGAACCGGTTGGTCTTCTATTGTGGTGAACTTGTTCCGTTTGATTTACCCTGGTTTCTGGCTCCATTTCAAAATGGCTGACATGTCCTTAAAATATCCCCCTCTCTCTCCAAGAGCACAAGCTAAAGGCACATGAAAGAAGCCTCCTGTAACACACTCCACACTCACTTTTTCCCTGAAAAATAACTCCAATAATACCTATAAATATTGCAGTTCTTACTCCCTCTGAAGGGGCCAGCGGACGGGCTTCTGTTGCTACATTTGTCACCGGTCACTGCTCATTTCATCTTCCCATCGCTCTGTGATATCGACGGAGACGGTGAGATGTAGCTGAACGGGAGGAAATGACCGATTAATTAAACCTTCTCCTCAAATGCATCATCCAAACCACTGCATTCGCCTATTTCCCTGTGCATCATCACAAAATATATAATTTATGTAACATAACTCTGTATTGAAATAGAAACGTTTACCCTACATGTATACTGGAGTACATACGACCATCAAAGAGCATGATAAGGACTTAAAGAGGGACCATTACATCCAGCAGAGGTATGATTTAGTGCACAGACATCGTCGTCCTTTTGCCTGGCACCTATTGAATTCACTTGAGCATTGACAGCCAAACAGTGTAGTGAGCTATCTACACTATACTGCATTCCACACTTAAAGGCTGGCTAAAGAGAGGACTAACCCTCTGCAGTTCTTAAAGAGTCCGAGCTAAAAACGCAAGCATCATGCACCAGCTAGGATGTGAAAGCCTAGCAGAAAGAGGTCCAACTTCAGGCACCTCCTAAAACTTCACCACAAATGACGAGAAGGAACCTTTTTTTTTTGTGTTTTTTTTTGCAACATCAATCTATGTAATTACTGAGTTCATCCAACAGCTACTGTAGCGTGATCAGAATTGCAAAGTAGGAGCACAGATGGTAAATAAACAGGAAAATGTCTATTCTCCTAAAAACACTGCATGTAATCTAAACTAGTTATCGATCACTGATTCATTTTTGGAGAAGTTAACTAATGAGAACTTCTGTTTTTACGGTGTTTTTGCTCTTGTTTTGGCCATTTTGGATTAGAAATTTGCTACTTGGGAGTATTGAATTTCCGTGTCAGTAGTGATTTGAGCCGTAGAGTTTTAGAACTACACCTTGCAAATCTCTGGCATTATGCATTTGTGGGATAATGACGTCCATTCGTCTGTTGGATTTGAGGCAAAGCGAGCTTGATAATGTTACTGGAAATGTTTTAGAATTTTTTACCACGATTGTAAGTGCCTGTGTGAGAAGAAAAAAAACATAACGGCACGTTATTTTTTGCGTCATAAACCCCACTGTCACAGAGAGCATAACTTTGATTTCAGTTAACAGAATCTAGTGTATTGAGGGCTGCAGCAAATGCGTTTTGACTGGTACCATGAGAGCGAGAAGCTTTGAAGCAGAGAGTGCTGTTCGGTCTCGCTCCACCTCCAGTGAGAACAGATGACGGGGAGGGGGAAGATGGGAGGAGGGGGTGGGGAGGAGCTCAGAACTCGATCTTGCAGGCAGGGAAGGACTCATCCTGCATGACCACGGTGCTGCTGGAGGCCAGAACCATGATGTTCAGGTCCTGCTGCCTCTCGTGAGTCTGCTGGTACCAGTCCCGGGTCACCTCAGAGTCGTGGGTCGGGATCAGGGTCACCTGACAGGGACACATGGAAATAAAATGAGAGGGGGAAAAGTATATAACATAACATGACGTACTATACTATGACTTTTTCTGACATTTTATTTCGAAATCTTTTCATTTTGTCGATCCACTGCACAGCACATATTTAAAAATGAAATGTGTCACAGGGCTCATCATTTCCAGCAAACATCAAGGAGACAAATGAGGGCAAAACAGCATCACCGACCTGTTTTAACCAAATATTCTTTGGTCTAGCTCAGCTAAATACACCAAATCCATCAGCCTGTTAGCATGTCGTTTACTACCAAGCCTGTTTGTAACCGGTAGTGACAAAGTTGGTGTGTAAAGGTGAAACACGGGAGCAGAGGATACTTATGATTGTGTTAAATTCTAGCAGTGGCACAGGAAAATAGGGGAAACACTGACCATATTTTGGGTTGCATGTTGAAACATTTCTGATGTTGCTTGCAGGTGAAGGCAGGTTTAGTTTTCTCTGCTTTTAAGGCAATAGCGCAATTACTGTAAAGCACCGTTTTCCTGAACGTTTTACCAGGACCGTCATAATTAGGTCGGTATAGACGGCCCGATGAAGGTAAATACCTGTAAATTGGAGCCCCACTGAGCTTTGCCCTCCAGCAGGGCATCCAGGACTCCACGGCTGGGTTCTCCACTGCCCGGGTCGTTCCCGCTCACCACATAGTACGAAGCTCGCACTCTCTTGAAGAACTCCTGATCCACGTTCTTGGCACTGCAGTGGTTGGGCACGTAGGCCAGGTCGACATAGATGGGTGGTCCAGGGGGCACGGCCAAGCTAGTTTTCTGGGAGTTGTTTCCTGGAGGTGAGCAGAGATATAAAACAGCATTACAGGCGAATAGACCAACTTGTTCCTCAACTGAACAAATTACCTGATGTTCACTATCTTATTTATATAAATCAATCACTCATTAATTGACCACAATTAACCATAAATCTGATGAAGAGCAGTTGCATGTCTGAATTATAAGACAGTCAAGTGCAGACTTATCATAGCTGCAGAAAGAAAGGCAATGTTCAAAATAAGCTGCTAACATGATTGCATTGATTTACATAAACAAATAATTAAATCTAAAAATAATGTAACCAACCACATAGTACATGTACAACTTTCCTAAATGTCATCTCCTGACATTAGTATAATTATTTATATGTTAGTGTAGTTAAGTATATTTCAAAAGCTGAATCACATTTAAATATTGTGAATTCAAAAACCCTATGTATTTGTTTGGATGACATTATCATTGCTTTTTGATGAACATGTAAATGTGGCTAATAGCTGGATTCCGTTGGATCAGTGGGTCTTAACATCTACTTCTAACTTAATTTTAATTGTCAAAAAGATCCAATACCAGGTATCAGTATCTCAGTATCAGTATCTCAGATATATATCATTTCTAGCTTAGGAAAATCCTTAATCTAGTGAGAAGGCAGTATGAATCAACCCAGGAATCATGTTGAAGGTACATTTCTCTTACGTTACAGGATGGGAAGATGTTAACACACCTGAACTGCTCTTGACTCCATTGACCAAGCCTTTCCCCGGGTTGAGGATCTCACTCCTGGAGCCTTGAGTCTCAGACATCTTGATCAGCCTGGAGCTTCTGTCTGCGTCCTTCCTCCTGAGGGAGGCTGATCGAGGTGAGGCGGAGTCCTTGGAGGTCTGCTTCACCGGAGTAGAGGACCTCTTCCTGACTTCCCCCTTACGAGCGGGGGAGGCCGACTTGGGTTTGCCCTTTCTGAGGCCCTTGGTGGTCTTGTGCTCCTTTTTAAGAAGTTTCTCTGTGCTGCTGTGGTCATTGAGAAGAGCCTCTGGATCTACCATGCACACATCTGGGTGCGGAGGGTGGGGATGAGGGTCCTTCATCGGGGTGGGAGATGGGTCATGAGTCTTCTGAGCTGACCTTGGTGATGGAGGATGGTGACCCCCCCCAGCTCCAGATAATTTGTCCACCGGCAGATGTTCGGCGTCTTCGTCCGAGTCCAGATTTCCCTCAGCTGTTATGGACGGACACTCCTCGGTCTCTGGAGGAACGTCAGAATCCGACTGTGAAGGCAACGACTCGCTCGCTGATGTCGGAGGTGTTTCCTCTCCAGCTAACGTCACAGCCAAACCGGACGACATGGCGCCGGGCAGCTGCTGTGGCCCCTGTCCAGCGTCTCCGGGTAAACTCGGAGTGTGGTGGTGCCTCTGCTTGTGCGACCTCCTTTTCACGGAGTGTTGCTCCTGATCGTCCTCGTCTCCTTCCTGGGAGTGGTCACTGCGGTCGTCCTCCTCACCCTCGCCCTCGTCACTGGAGAGCGGATGAGGGCTCGGGTTGATGAACGATGGAGAAAGTTCTCCTTTGCGATGTTTGTATTCGCAAGAGGAGTGGCCTGGATAGGAAGCAGAGGAGGCGGCGGCACCGGTGTTCAAGTCAGAGGGACGATCAGCCCTTGCGGCTCCTTTGCTTGATGTTTCTGTGTGATGGGTATCTTTCGACGAGGACATAGCGGTACTGTGGACACTGGTCATCCATTCCATCGCTTCTTCATCCTCTTCCTCCTCGTCATCATCACCATAACCTGGAGGAGGGGCACTTGGGCAGTCTTCAGGCCTCTGTAGTAGTTCCCAATCAGATATACTGCTCCTTCTCCTGACCTCTAATCTCTCTGGTGGCATCTCCAAGAAGCTTTTCTCCTCGATTTTTTCTGCCTCTCCTTTCTTACCATCTTCTGCTTTTTCACACATCTTTGGATCAGCTGTTGCCTTCCTCTCCTCTGTGCTTTCTTTACACAACCTTTCCTCTATTTTCTGCTTGACCTCACCATCTTTAGCAGTTAATGTCTTTTCATCTTTTTCTGAAACCTTCTCATCTTCCTTCAAAGGTGCAATTACTCTGTTTGTGTTCTCCTCTTTTACCTCCAGTGTTTTCTCCTTTTTCTCTTTATCGTCCTCTGCTTTGGACACGACTGTTGTGGCACATGTGGTTTTGCTAGCTCCGCTATCACTGAGTGAGTTAAGTGAGGCTGTCTGTTGAGTTGTTTCCATCACCACGTCAGGTTTAGACACAACAGTAGCAGAGGTGTTGGTGACCGTCTTATTCTCTGTGGACTGTGAGGTACTACCTACCATATATGACTCGGTTATCAATGAAAAACTCTCCTTTTGCTCAGCCACTTTGATTTTTTGACATTCAATACGACATGGTAAGGTGCTGTCCTCCATTTCAAGTGTAACAGGCTCCTCATCGTCTGATGACTCTTGGGACACCTTGTCAGAGGAGTGAGCCCTTTGGAGGGGAGAGACATCAAAGCAAGCCTCTGATACACTCTCTGACACCTTTACTGGTTCCATGCTTTGCAGGGATGGTGCAGCGGAGGATGGTGTAATCTTAGTTTCTAGCATATAAAAACAGTCAGTGCTTGACTTTGTCTCAGTTTCAGGCTTTGCAGAACCACTTTGACCCTCAGTCTGTTTGGCAGTGGTAGACAAGAATGCATATGATGGTTTGGTCTCATCAGACTGGCCGGGTAAAGACACTTTTGTTGCAGGTTTCGTCGTCACCTCCATGTACTCATCTCTCTGAAATCCTCCAAAGCAGGAGCTCTGAGACTCTGCCGCCGATGGCTCCTCTTTGGCTAGAGGTACTCTAGGGCTTGATATTGTTGTAAAAGTTTTGACTTTGTCTCCACACGGTTTGCTCAAAGGGGCAGAAGTTGAGGCTGAAGACGAGTAACTGTATGATGTGGAGGAGTATGTTGAAGTAGAGTATGTTAAGGTGGTGTATGTGCATGGTGATGAGGCACTTTCCTCATGTCTTGTGGTGATATCTAGGGTCTGCCCCTCATCTAGATTCTCTTCTTGGATGTTTCTTTGGCTATAATATGTATCATCGCTTAGCTTGGCTAGCTGGGAGGCATCTGAGAGCACACAGGTTTCTTCTTTATCTTCCTTCAATCCTACTTGACTATTCTCACTGTAAAAATGCTCAGAATAACCTCCAGATCTACTCTGTCCGATGTCGGCATAGCTACCTCTTAGAGGAGGGGAGGGACTAGATGTAGTCTTGGAAATGGATTCTGAATGGTCAGGTGGCAAAAAGCTGCCTGTCAAGCTGCTTGTGGACATTGGTTGACAAGTTTCCTTTTTCAAAAAGCTTGGCGATAGAGACACTTTGTCGTCATCTCCTTCTTTTGTCTGTAGTACTTCATAAGAGCTCAAATCCTCTGCCGATGACAACCTTCTCTTTGTGGTTGGTTCAGGAGACAAATACTTTGTGTCTGTGTCCTCTGCTTTCTTTGTTTCAGGAAGTTTTGGAGCATCTGATGTAGTGAAACCACTTTCGTCCATTCTGCGAACACTTGGGTCTGGTGACGGAGCTGTTTTACCTGCATCGTCACTCCTTGCTTCAGGACGTTTGGATGTGGCTGTATCATCTTTGTTGAGTGGTTTTGTTTCAGGAGATGATGGTTTTTTACTCACGTCCTGCTTGTCTGAAGCTGAGGCATCGTCAGCTGTTGGTTTACAGACAGTTTCATCTTTAAGGAGGCTTGATTCAGGCAGCTGAGACTTTTTATTTGAGTCCTCTACCTCTGCTAACGTAGCACTATCACCAGAGCTACGTCTGCACATTTCTTTTTCAGATTGTTCTCTGGCACCCTTTTCCATATCTACATCACTCAAATCCTCCTCTTCTTCCTCCTCCTCCTCATCATCATCATCTTCGTCCTCATCATCATCATCAACATTGAAATCTTCCCCTTCTACGAGTAACCTTTTATCTATCAGGCTCTCTTTTCCATCAGGAAAGTCTGACATGGATTTACAAGAGGCAGAGCTGCTAATTTGATTATTCTCAGATGCCAAAACATTATCGTCTATTTCATGTCCTGAAAATGTGGCAGCAGAGGCAGTCCTTGACGTTTCTGCTTTCTCTAAAGTTGATGCTTGTTGAGGTAAAATGTCTTTTTCTGCAGGTGAATGCCGACCAGATGGAGATCCCTCATGATCAGAGGAGTCCATTTTGTCTTTGAGTGACTCAGCAGATTTTTCTCTCTCCTTTTCTGTTGTTCTTTTTTCTGTGAATTCCCCAAAAGCTACGGGAGCAGCAGACACTTGTGTACCAAGATCTGATTGGCTCCATGACGGAGACGGTGTTTCTTGTCTTAATGATGCACCTGCTGATTGAACAGCAGCACTGGCAGAAACCGTATCACTTTCTCCTGTCGCCCCCGTTGGAAAAGCTGCTGCCGCAGCACCTTCCTTCATGTCCTCTTTCTCTTTCTCCGATTTCTCAGGTTTATCCTCTTTGGGACTGAAAGAATAAGACTCAGCCGCCTGGGACATTTTGTTATCTTGCATGTCCATGGATGAAAAGCTCTTTTCAACATAAGGTGTATCTGGTCTTTCTTCTCGCTCACACTCTTCCTCTTGGCCTTTCTCCCTGTCTTCATATTTAGGAGAGGCACTATGGTGGCTGCTTCTCTCACTCTCAGTGAGAGACACTGGGCTGTAGTCGACTCTACTAAAGGACAGAGGCTCGTCCAGGACGAACATGGCTCCTCCAGCCTCTGTCTGGCTTGTTCTTCTGTTATCATCAATACCAATATCAGAGGCGTGATCGAAATCCAAAGAAACCTCGCTTTCTTCTCTGGAGTCCAAGTCATGATCCTTTGGAATTGGCTTTTCATACGGATCGTACTTGGACGCACCAAAGGTTTGCTTTTCATCTCCGATGCTTCCACCGACTGTTTCCTTCTCTGAGGTCATTTTTGCAGTGTCAGATTTAACAACTTCTGTGTGGCTGGCATCCTCAGAATCCAACATAAAATATGAACAAGGCTGTGATAATCCGGGAGAAGCCACCTCTCGCTCTCCTTCCATCTCCCTCTCTGCTTCCTTTCCTGGTTTCTCATCCAGCTTTGCTTTTTCTGTAGCACTGACCGCTGAGCTTGTCAGAGGCGATATTTGTTGCTCTTGTTGTGGTGTTTCCTCCACACTGGACTGGCTCTCAGTGCTCGAGAGCGTAGAGCTCCTGGGTTGACTGTCGGTGCTCGATACTGTTGACAACACGGGCTTTTGCTCAGTTGAGTCCGACATTGGCTCTACTTTAGCTGCTGGTATATCGGAAGCCTTTTCTTGTGTAGTCGTCTCCATTGATGTGACAATATCAAAGGAGGGCTCTGGCTTGGCAAGTGGTGCAGCTGTGGGTTCTTTGCCTGCTTCAGGTGAAAGTCTGGATTCTTCTATGCCAAACTCTTTGCCGTCTTCATCTATCGAGGGCTCCTGCATTGTGAGTGTTGGTATGATCCCTGTGGTCTGCTCCGATATTGGCTGTTTAGTTTGGTCACTTGTCTGTGGTTTTTGGGATGAGGGCAGGCCTGCAGACGAGATGTCATGTTCTGATTTTCTCAGCTCCACTGACAAAGGTCTGGAGCCTGCTCCTCCCATACAAATGTCCTCCTCCTCTTCATCTCCCCTGTCTTCGTCAGACGACTGAACCACAAATGCTTCTCCTGACACTTTCAGTGCAGGTTGTTTAATGTCTTTCTCTTGTAACTCCTCTCTCTCCCATTTCTCCTCTCTGGTGTGGTCTCCATCACATGAGTCTTTTTCAGTGATCTCATCTGTCTTCTTGTCGGCAACATCTTTTCCTTTCATCATCTTTTCATCTTTGGTGTCATCAGTCTCATAGGTGTATTCTTTTTCTTGTTCTTTTTCCATTTTCTGTTCTTTGCTCAGTTCAGCAACATGCGTGTCGTCTTTTTCTTTCTCCATCTTCTCGTCCTTTGCTTCTTTTTGCTCCTCCTGGATTTGGCTGGGAGACACACAGACGTCATCTTTCACTGGTTTCATGTCTTCACTTGATGTAGTTACAGAGGTGTCTTGCTGAATCTCTGCAGCACCAAAAGATTCCTTCTCAACTTGAGTTCCAGTAAGCTTATCAGAGGTTGCTTCATGTATATGCTTATCACTAATGTCCCAAATATCATCCTTTTTCGTTCTCTCTTCTTCCAAGGTCAGAGACACGGGAAGATGCACCTCTTTTTTATCATCCTTCTTAGACTCAGTATCGAAAGGATAATCATCTTTCCCTTTTTTATCATCTTTGGTGCTTAATGTTGGATTGTACATCTCTTCCTCTGCCTCCTGTTTGGTGGATTCCGCTTCACAACTGCCCTGTTTGCCTTCAACCTCGATGGTTTCAACTTTAGATGACTCTTTCTCTTTCCCATCCTTGGGCTGCTCTACACTGGTGTCAGTTTCTTTCTCCTTGTTAGTGTCATCTTTCTCAGTTTTTTTATCTTTAATTTCCTCCAGAATCGGTTTGTGATCAGAGATATCAGCCTTCTCCTGCTCTTTAACCTCCTGCGTTTTTATCTGTTTGTCAGGAATGTCAACATTTTTCACCCCTTTATCATCCTTTATGTCTTTGACATATGTATCATCCTTCTGCTCCATTTCTTTCTCTTTCATTTTAATTTCTTTATCATCAATATCATCCTTTGGGATTTCTTTTGCCTCCTCCTTGAAGAGTTTTACATCAGATGTAACATCTTTCATCTCTACCTTCTCCTCATCTTCAGGGGCTTTCACACCAGAAATGTCTTTGCTTTCTTCCTCCTTGGTAGGTTTGATACCAGAAATTTCATCCTTAATAATTACTGTATATTTTTCTTCCTTGATGGGTTCGATAGCAACACTATGATCTTGAATTGAAACCCATTCCTCAGCGAAAGTTTCCTTATTATCTACTGCTTTCTCCTTTTCTTCTTCTATCGTTGATTTGACAGCACTAATATCTTTACTGATTTCTTTTACCTTTTCGTCTTGCATGGTGGGTTTAGTAACAACTTCGTCCTTGGATGTTTTGACAGCGGAAATATCTTTGCACATCATTACATCCTCTTCCTCTGTCTTGGCGGTTTTGACAGCATCTTCATTACTTTCTTTCTGCTTTCCGTCCTCCACGACTGGTTTGATGGCATCTTTAAGTGTCTCTTCTGCTTCTGCCTTGCTTGATGCGGAAGAGAAATCATCATCTTTACTTAATTGTACATGCTCTGCTTCTATCTTGGTAAATTTGGTGGCGGAAGTGTCATCTTTACTTTCCTCTTGTTCCTTGTCTTTTGCAAGTGTTGGTTTAGCAGCAGAAGTATCTTCTGTTCTTTGCAGTTTATCTTCTTCCTCTGCCTTGGTAATAGCAGCAGTATCATATTTACTTATGTCCTCTATAGTAGGTTTGAAGATCTGGGCATCATCCTTGCTTGTCGTCATATCTTTTTCCTGGTCCTTGGAGAGTTTGGTGTCAGAACTATCATCTTTACTTGTCTCCTTATCTTTTTCTTGCTCTGTGGCTAACTTGGCAGCGGGAATTTCATCTTCACTCAGGCTGATGGTTGAGACAGCATCTCTACAAATCTCTTGCCCCTTAGCAGCAGACGTATCCCCCTTACTCATTATTTCTTCTTCTTTGGTGACTTTAGCAACAGTGATGTCACCAATCTCTTTATCATCTTCCCTCTGCTCATCTGTAAAGGACTTGGTAGCAGAAGCATCTATCTTTTCCATCTCTTTTTCCTCTTTCTTGTCTTCAATCACTTTGATATCAGATGTCTCCTTTTTCTTTTCATCTTTAGTAGGTTCAGTAATGGGCATGTCGTCTCTTTTTACCTCTTTCTCCATCTCGTCTTTAACAGGCTTGATATCTGTGGCGCGGACCTGTTCAGTCTTTACAGGGCTAATATCAGAAATGTCACTATCAAACAAATCATTTCTTTCAAGCTCATCTTCCTCAGCACCTTTGTTTTTGAGGTCAAAATCATCAACTCTCTGCTTCGGCTCATTTTTCATTTCTTTGTTCTCAGAAGCAACAATTTCCATCTCTGCTTCTTTGGTTGTGACTTCAGGAGTGTGGTCCTTCTCAGGCTCTTTATGCTCTTCTTTAATGGCTGTAACAGCCGTGAAAATGTCCTTTGCAATTTGCTCTTCTTTGATGGGTTTAATATCGGAGGTATCATCCTTTATTGTCTCTTGCTCTACTCTCTCATCCGTGATGGACGTAACGGCAGAAACGTCTTCCTGGATGACAGATTTCTGTTTTTGCTCATCCTTGATTTGTGGGACATCAGAGGTGTCGTCCTTTTCTTTCTCCTGTTCTGCCTTAATGGTTTTAACTGCAGGTTTATCACCATGATCATCATCATCATCTTTCTTGTTATCATCTTTATTGTCCAGGAAACGACTTTCCCTCTCTGGAAAGGTTCCTGTAATCGGCACTTTGGGTTCTTTTTCTTTGAGCGTGTGGTCCACCTCTTTATCACTTTGTCCAGATGAAATGAGGGAATCCCTCACTGACGCGGGTGGCTGAACTTCTCTTAAAGACGCAGCAAACACAGGGATTGTTTCTGACCGCTTGCCTTCATCTTTTGGCACTGATGAAGAGTCTTTTTCTGACTCCTTCATCACTGGAACCTCTTTCATGTCCTTCTCAAATGATTCGTCTAAAGATGTTGAAACATCTACTTCATGCTGATCTGCTTTCTGTTTATCAACATCTTTTTGTGTCTCTGTTCCTGCTTCATCGGTCTTTTTTGTTTTCTCGTCTGTTGCTAAATCAGGGAAAACCTTCGTCTTGTCTTCCACTGGTGACTGACGAAGAGGAGAGTGAGCCACACTCGGTGGTCCGGACTGTGGAGGGGAGGCCATTTTCACAGTGATATCATCTGGACTGAAGCAGCGCTCTTCACTCTCTGAAGTCACTGAGTCCGATCCAAAAGGTCTAGTAAGCACAACAGATGAAATATCTTTAGGTGCAACAGCTATTGTATTTTCTTCTTCAATTGGTAGGTGGACTGGTTTGGTGTCTTGTATAGAAACTGGAGACACTGAGCCAGCAAGCTTTTCAATATCCATCTCTTTATGTTGTAATAATTGGGATGAAGCATAGCCCTCTTGGAGTTTTTCAAGTGAAATGTCTACATTAGGAGTTTGGTCTTCCTCCTCCTCTTCCGCTTCCTCTTCTTCCTCGTGAGCTTCAGGAGCTTTAGCCGGCGTCTTCACTTCTGCAACAGGAAGCTCAAAGTCATCAGAAGGAGACTTGGATTGTTTGTCTTCTTCTAAAGAAGGTGGTGAAAGAGATCTTGCAGAGAGTGGCTGCTCTTTGCCTTGGGTGGCTTCGGGTGGGGTTGACAGGATAACGGGACTTTTGGGGGGTTCCTCAGCTGAAGGTGCTGCAACAGATGCCACAGATTGGTCTTCAGCAATAGAAGTAGGGAAAGAGCACACTTTGTCATACTCCGTGATGGACGTTGCAGAGGACACATGCTCCTCTTCTGCCAGAGGAGCAGTGATGATGTTGGTGAACACCGATACCTGCTCGTGCACGCCTGGGATGAAGCTTTTCTCGGTCATAGCTGCAGCTTGCATCTCCCTCATGCCGTGAATGTTGACAAATGATCCGGTCTGATCTGGAACAGAGATGTCGTAGGCACCGACGTCATACTGAAGGTGTGGTATCCTCTCCTCTGCCTCCTCGTGAATCTCCTCGTCAGAGATGGTCTGTTCCGTCTCAGAGTAGCCGGGGATGGTCTCGTCTTGGATGTAGGAGATGGGTTCAGCTGCAGCGGCTCCTTGAACTACCGAGGTTATGGGAGCTGTGGCCCCTCCAACATGTGACAGGTAGCCCTCCTCCTCTTCCTCTTCTTCAGCCAGAATGTCAGTGACCATTTCTTCTTCGGCTGCATCTTCAGGTTTGATCTCTTCATCTGCTATAACATCTAAATCTTCTACCTCCTCCAGTTCAGCTTTCTCCACTGCCTCCTCCTCCTCGTCTTCCTCTGATGGAATCGTTTGGAGCTGCACTTTTGTCCCAACCTTAGCTGAGAGTGTTTCAGATTTCTCCATTTCTTCTAACTCATGTTTCCTGTCAAGACCATCGTCCTTTGCTTCCTTCCATTTTGCCTCATCTTCCTCTTCACCTATTCCCATATCTTCTTCCACCTCCTCTTCTGTATTTCTTTTGGCAGCCGGGGCCTCTTCTTCCTCCTCTTCCTCCTCATCCTCATCCTGAGATGCTGCTCCTTCATCCTCAAACTTTTGAGCATCTTCCATTTCTCTCTCTTCTGTCAACTTGTTGTTGTCAACTTCAGCTTTGGCTTCTGGGGCTGATGCCTCCTCTTCTGGAGACTTTGTTTCAGGTGGAATTTCAGATGCTTCCTGCTTCTCCTGGGTAAGGCTTTGTGCAGTCGGCTCATAACTGTCTGGAGGCTCTGCTGATACATCTACAACTTCAGCTTTTTTCATATTTTCAAAATCCTTGGTGAGGTCTTCAGGGGTTGAGAGAACAGACTTGCCCTCAACAGCTCCATTCTCTGCTGGTTCAGGTTGAATAGTTTCAGGTTTTGGCTCCTCAGGCTTCGGCTCAGCAGGTAAAGTCTTTGCTGCTTTGATTTTTCCGGTCTTTGCTTTACTTGACACTTTAGCTTTGTGCAATGTCTTTCTGACTTCTGGAGTAAACGGTTTCAGGTCAGGCTTTGTAATTTTTCTCAGCTCTGGTTTGGATGTGTCCTTCTTTTTGTCGTCTTTGGACTTAACATCTTTCTTTTCATCTTTTTTAGCAGAGTCATCTTTCTTTACTTTCTTGATCTCTTTCTTTTCCTTGTCCTTTTTCTCATCCATTTTTGACACCCTTTCCTTCGGGTGTTTTTTTAAGGATTTTTCCTTCAGGAGTTTTTTCTTTTCTGGCACATCACTTTTAGATTTTATCGTTTTAGTAGGCTTTTTCTCCTCTTTTTTCTCAGAGATATTTTCCTTCACGGAGTCACTCTTTGCCTCTGTGGCGGCCGACACATCATCTTGTCCTTCATTTTCTTTCTTTGAGGCTTTTGCAGTCGTCTTCGGCGATGACTTGAGACTCTCTCTGCTGTCTGTTCTTTGTTTTAACTTGGTTTGTTTTATAACAGAGGGAGGAGCTCCGGAGGCAATATCCTTTTGTGTGGCAACAGGATAGCGCAAGAAGTCAAGGTGCTTTAATTTTTCCAGACCCTCTAGGATCTTGTTTTGTGGTGCATTCCCAGGGAACAGCACTCTGATGATCTTTTCAGTAGGGTTGGCAGGAAGCCAGATGACTAAGGCTGTCACTGATGTCAGGTAGGGCACAGATATTTCTCCTTCTTTCCCGTTGGGCAGCACAATACCAGTTTTGGCCTTGCTGTTGCCAGCCCACTTCTGCATTAAAAATTGCATCTCTTTACTGTCTTTGACAGGATTGAGAACATACATGTCTAACCTGCCCACTCCCATCTTGTGGAACAGAGTAATCGGCTCAATAGTGTTGCTGACCACTCGACAGAGAGGCTCTGGTTTGATTCCAAGTTTATTCAGGTACTGCAAAGTCAGCGAGGCCTCTTCGATGCTGCGTTTCACTTTAAGATTAGATTCTGGCATACGGAGCTTCTCTGGCACGTTGAAGAACACCACACCTAGTTCAGGAGAGATCAGGTTCTTCATCCAGTCGCTGTAGTCGGTGGAGCCTTGAGACTGCTCCTCCTCCTGTTCTGCTATCTTCCTCTGAAGCAGCCCATTGATACCTGGGAGATTGTCGGCGCCGATGTGCGTGAGCAGAATCGAGTCAATGCGGTCCAAGTGACGAACCAGCTTCCAGAAGCATGATTTTCGTTCAGAGCCTCCATCCACTAAGATGTTGAAGCCATTTACGGCAAAGAGAGCAGAGTCTCCGCGTCCACCGGGAAAGATGTAGCAACACGGTTTGGACAGTTTCAGGAAGCCTCCGGATGTGGGTTGCTCCAGGAGGTCAAAAGGCGAAGGGACGTCGACCGTCTCAGAGATGTACTCTGTGAACTCGGTGACGCCCTCCATCTTGGGAAGGACAGACTCGGGGTTTAGTTTGTATTCCAGAAACTCTCGCAGGGTCTGCTGCTGTCCCAGGGAGCTCCAGCCCACCTCCCCGCGGCAGGACACAGTAAGTGTAGCCTGCTGCTTGGGGGCTGTTGTGCCCAGTAATTCACTGACCTGCAGGAGGGAGACACCCAGACACATTAGTCAGCGATGAATGCATTACTGTTATAAGTGTGTTGTGAAGACCTGCTTAAGAAAAAAAAAGTAGCAAAAAAATAAATTATCGATTTAATTGGAAGGTGAGAATGTTGGGACCTGAATACCTTTGCTATCAATACATTCATTCTGTGGTGGAGGCATGTACCTATCCTTTCATAATAAATCATTTCAAAACACTGAAACATATTCACAAATGTACAAGATACTTTTGCAGAAGAAAAAAGGATTATGGCAGCTGTGGCTAGAGGGGGTCGTTTTCCAATCAGAAGATTGATGGTTCGATCCCCGGCTCCTCGAGTCCATGTCTGTGTGTCCTCAGGTAAGATACTCAACCCTAAATTGCTCCCAAAAGCTCTGCCTTCAGTGTATGTGTGGGTTGGTTAGTTAGTTAGGCAGTCACTTAGGCATGGTAGCCCCTGCCATCAGTGTATGAATGGCTTTGAGTGGTCGGAAGACTAGAAAGGCGCTACAGGCAAGTTAAAGTCCATTTACATTTCTTAATAAGTGTTACTGGACAGCCCTTTTGACTCACCCCAGGATCAGCAAAGACACGTGACAAGGTCTGGTAGGTGAAAACCCCAGTTTGAAGAAAAAGGCCACCGTGATCTGAGCTTTGTCCACTCAAGACCAGAAGCTTGTGTCCTGCTGAGTCTGTGACTAGAGACTGGATCTGGGACACACACACACACACACAGAGAAAGAGAGAAAGAGGTTGGGAAACAGAGGACAGTTAAAGGAGAGACAGAGGCATCACAGGCGAAAGATGCACTTAAATTGTGTCAAGGTTGACAAAATATGGCAATGAATTTTCTACAAAAAATAAAAATACAGAAAAATCCAAGAGAAACAAAGATCTTCAGTCTGTTCTCCTTAACAAATGTGAAAACTGTCAAGTACCGAAAGCAGCCATTCAAACCTGTGGCCAGATTTATAAAGTTGTATTCTGATCAGATGGATCCTGATTTAAATCGGACGTTTCCCTTTTTTAGACTATTCTATTCTGGCTATAGAATACAGCTATTGTAGTTAATCAATTTTTGTTTTTTGTTTATTAACATATTCCTAAAGGGTTCATATACATTTTTCACGCAATTCAAATGTGATTCTTTTTTTTTAAACAAATATTGATATCATAAGCAAAATCACTGTATTATCAATGGTGTTGAACGTTTACAGGGGATTGACAGATAAATGTATGAGTCAGTGTGATGTCCGTGGGTATCTTTCTTTAAAATAGGCCACACCCCTGACATGTAAGTGTACGTGCAACCAGCAGCGTGCTCTACTTTAGCACACGTTGACAGTACCTCTGATACCACGGTGCCTTCTGAAGGGTTGACGAGGACCACGGTCTCTAGGACATCACTCCTGTGGTGGAGAGTTCTTTGTCCTGAAGGAGAAGATTGAAAACGTTTTGTTAGCATCTGCCATGAATAAACCACTTGAGCCTAATATTAAGATTCAACTCCATCAAGGCCTGGTGAAGGCTGGGAGAGGTAAACAAGTTGACGCCTGCTGAACAACATCCAGACCTGATCTGGGAAACCTCTTTGAGTCAGGGAGAGTTACTATACTGCATTCTGCATCGTATCTGGGGCAATCACTATATACAGACAGACATCCCGCTCGAGCATCAACGCAAGAACAAAAGTTGGAAAAAGGTCACTGAATCAAACACAAAGTTAAGACCACTATTTACCCTTGATATTAGGTATTAATACAATAAAAAAAATGATATCCATGCTTTTTCTGGACTCAAACATATGCCACTTGCAATTTGGTCGTGGTAGAAAAGAAGAGTGATTTATTACGTTGCAAGCCGGACATATTAACAATTCACACAAAGACAATATCACAAAATGAACTACATCGTTGAGTACATTTCCATACAACCTTACGCATATTCATTGCAATTATGCATCAGCACTTAATTCCACTCCGGGGTGATGCTAAGCTTTTGATTCCCCTTTGTTGCAGCACAGATGCAGGCTCTAATATTAGAGAGGTCTAATAATAGGGGGATCTCAGTGACTCCATCCATCCACCGGGATCTTCAGTGCATCCCCCGAGTCTACGGTGCTTCGCCATCGTTTCAGGCTCTGTGCTGTCAACATGTGTTGTCCATGAAAAAAACCTCTGATGTAAATCATACTCAGCCTCATGTCCTGTAATGTATAAATGACTGACACATTATACAATTATAAGAATATCAGCAATTAAGATGGATAAGAGTTTGAATGAAATTGAAAAGAAAAGTAATTTCATGCATGAAAGAAAAAAACTTAAATATCACGAAGGTAATCAGCGCAGCACTTAGCCGTCTAGACCGTCTGAGTCAGAGCAAGAAGCACTCAATACGTGGCTTTTATATTGCAGATGCTAATCGCAGCCATATTATCTGCTTTCAGCTCATGATTGTATTTTATGCTTTCTTATTCTTCATCGAACATGTGGCATTAACATTATAACAGCGATGAAACAACACGAGCTGAATTCAATCGTTTTATATTCAACGACATTTTCCTCTTATCTAGCAAATAGCCACCCGTGACATTTCCACTTGAACAAATGTCTGTCGGGAGTTTTTTTCTCGTTTCTTTAAATTCACGACATGAAACCGTTTCGTCGGCTGTTCTGATGGCTATTTTTGGAAACTAATCCGGCCTTTAGAAAAAGTTGTATTTCACATTTTCAGCAGCAGTTTACGTTGAATATATAAAAAGTAAAACTAAAAAGGAAATAAATTATATATTCATCTTGGGTGTGTTATTATTATTCTATTGTAACAGTCAACTACAGTCGAAATGCAGCTGCCTGACAGTCTACAGTCACGTTAGCTGCTCTGTGAGGATGCTAACATTTGCTAACTAAAAAAGTGCCCTCAGTTAGTGTGCAGATCTCTGGTGTGTCTCTCTCTCAACTCCCAAACAAAGAAGAGCTGAATCTCTCTCCGTTGTCCCTACCGGCTCCCTTAATGTCAAGATTTCGGTGAAGATAAAGAAGTTTAATCATCTTAAATTGTGCCTAGCTTTAGTGGATCATCACATATCAGGTATGGAATTAATCCACAGATGCTTTGGTTCAAATTGAGACCAAACGTTACTGTGGATGTCAGTTGTTTGAGCCACGACAAAAGCCAAAATATGGCCTGCGACAAACCAAGTAGGGCTTGTTTTTAGCCGAGTCGATTGAATAGCCATTCTCTTGCTGCTGAAGAAGTTCTGGATCACTCGCAGCTTCCACCAGACAGTTAAGACGAGTGAGGATCGAGGAGACAAAAAATATCAGGCTGATTGAGGAGTATGCAAGAATAATCGTGGACAGACAGACACACACACACACACACACACACACACACAACCAAACACGTGATCTCCGCACAGGCTCACGTCTCTATAATTAGCACTAAACAAAAGAAACTGATTTTGAGTAATAAATGTTGACTCATTTATGACGTACTTTCTCCATTTGAACCTTTAAGAACAGATAATCTGATTTCAGTCAGCTGACGGCTCTTGATGTCGACACAAAACATGGAAAAGTCGACACAAACAGTCCTGGAATAACCCGTCTGATCATGTTTTAATCTAAAATAACTTTCCCATTTTGGAGCCACTTTCTTTAATTTATTAAACTGCCAGTGCCTTTTGGTAAACACAATGTGGGATTATTCAATTGTATTACTTACTGGGCTGTACTTATTATTCTTGTCTTTATTATATTTTATTAAATTTGAGCTTCTTATTTAAGCATCTATTTTATTTCACTCTTTAAATATATACATTTTTTAATACTGACTATTGTTTCTGCAATATCGCCTGTTCATGTCCTATGTATTTGAATTACCTTGACTTGTCTTTGCTATCTATTATCTATGATACACTGTGTTGTTTTAACTTTGCAGCTACTTTCTAAATACCGGGAGTCGTTTTTCATCCTAATCCTGTTTGAACTCTTCTGTGATTCACTATAAATTGCCGCTCTGTGTGACAGGTGTGCTGTAGGACACAAATAAAATTGCCTTGGCTTGTTGGTATGAGCAGCAGTAACCATGGCTGAGCAGCCAATAAGAGTGTCACAATAAATCACAAACAGAAGGTCAAAGATAACAGTACAGCCACAGTAAAAAAAACAAAACAACTTAGTTCCACATGTGTGGAAGAACATAAACCTCATGAACCCCGCGGATCGGTGTGAAATGACTAAGGAGGAAAAATCAAGTCGCATAGACTTCTTAAATATCAATTATTCAGAGAGCATCACAGAAGTAAACTAGAGGATGTGGCTCCCTCTGTTGATGGAGCCAGCACGGAGCGCGTGAGGAGAGAGAGAGATTGAGGGAGTTTGTTGATGGGACGGAGAGAGATGATACCCGAGTCACTGAGCAGTCAGGAAGAGTTTCTGACACTTCAGCAGATCTGCCCACAGACACGTCCGGTTTCACAGCGCGATGACTAAGCTTGCGAGGGCGAGCGATGAATTGCAGGTTTTTAAGCTGATACTTCTAACGCTGACGAGAGCAACAAACAACAACTGAGGCCACCTCGTCGACACAGAGCCCCGAGACGCCGGCGTCGAGGTGGGGAATTTGTTAAATCCACATTGAGGAGAATGAAGCCCAGAGAGCTGGCGTGTGCCCTTTGACCTCCTGATGTGCTTTCCTCGGGTGAAACGGAGGAGAGGAGGCTGTGCATTAGCTGCCGTTGATGGCTGCCCGCAGCAGACTGGTACAACGTGATACTAAAACAACAAAGACACTCCTAAGTCGGTCTGAAAATCACTGCTGTTTTCCCCCCCGACGCTCTGCATCAACAATGTGTCTTATTGTCACCGCGGGCAGGATGTCTCTCAGATCCGGTTCACTTTCACTCCAAAACGCCGCTGATGGACGGGAATCTGTGGAGGGGACGTTAGGTGCACAAAGACTTTAAAGGTCCCGTTATACTCAGATTCATGGATTTTGTTTCTGCTTCTCCTTTTCTTAACATTATAGCAAATGTATTATTTAGATCAATCTAACTACAAGCTATCGTTAGGACACTATCAAAAGGTATCACTACATATTAATAGTCATCTTTGTGTGGCCCTGACAAATGTCAATTTAACCTTCAAGCTCTGGTTTGGTACATACGACACATGATAGATGTGCTCAGACAACAGACTGTCAAAAGGGGGAAGACTGATGGATTTTCCGATGACTTGAGTCAAGTTGGGTATCGACTTATCTCTGCAGTGCGTCAGACACGCCTTGATTAAACACATCTCCACCTCCTCCAAAGTCCACACACCACCACGTCAGCCTATTCCCGTCTGTATCCTCAAGGCTGGAATCTGGACTACAGATCTTCTGAGTAGAGCTCCTTAAAACTATTCACAATGCGAGTTTCAGGCAGATTTCAAGGGAAGGTATTTGTACGTCTACTGCAGCAGAATAGTGCACATTATTCCTTTGAACAACAAAGTGAAAGTCACAGTTGGGTAACACAAAGAAAACTGCGTGACAATCACAACAAACATCCATCACAGTGCCAGCCTTTTAAATCTGTGCTCTTGTATTCAATAAAATTACATCTCAATAATGTGAGTCAGCCTTCAAACTGTTTGTATCCACTGAGATACAAACAGTTTGAAGCTAAAGCGTCCTCAGGCAGGCCGGCATCTGTTCCTCGGCTTAAATGCGTTTGTTTTAAACGGTCCTTTTGAAGAGCGCGACATTCAGCCAAGTTGCCCTCATCTGTTCATCCCCGTAGCTTTCCTTCACTGGCATCCCACACAGACAGAGGGCATCATCCTTTCACATCTCATGAAAATGTTCACACTGACTGTTGATTCCTACTTGGGTTTACTGGCTCCCTGCATTCTTCGGCAACTGAATCAATCTTAAATACTCTTCTTCTTATCGTATCAGTTGGTTCTCTAGCTCAGTAATGTGCCTGTGATTTTCATCAGAGCTGTGCATATCATTAGCATGTCATTGTGACACATTTCTGCTGTTCACTCAGTCCATTTACTCACTACATACTCAATTTGTGTGACTTCAGTTAGTGTCGTTGTGTCAAAGCTTTGGATCCAGAACTTCTTTGCGTTAAAAGAGGGTTAAAAATAGAAAAGATAATTTCTTTCCCAATTAAGGAATTGATGTAAGAGTCTACAAATTCATCTATTTGCTGTTTTCAGGGTTTATCCAGTTTCTATAGCAATTCGAGCCCAATTGATGATACTATATTGATAGCCGATCAGATAATGATATATTGGGCAATATCGTATTTTAAGTTTTACACAAACACGAAGAATAAACACACATTTTTGATAAGGAATGCTTAAATTGGGTATTTAAAGAATTTTGGCATAGATATTGGTGAGCAGCACATTTTACAGTTAAAAAAACAA